AAAAAAAAAAAAAAGAAAGAAAGAAAGAGAAAAAGAAGCTCAAAAGGCCTTCAGAGCAGGCGACCGTGCACCACGCAGAACTGCCATGCACAGCTAAGTCCTCTCTGACAGGCAACCGCAGGGCTCAGCTGTCCTTTGGCCACCCTGACACAAGCAGGACGACAGTGCTGTCCTCAAGAATGCGCTGACTTGCAGCTGCTCTCTGCTTACCCAAGTCTGCTTCCGATACAGTCATTATCAGATCAGTATCAGATAAGGCGTGTACAGTCAGTTTTCATTATAAGCAGATTCTGTAACTGCAAATTTACCTCCTAGTACAATATATGTATTATTCTCACCCCCCGAAAAAGAGAATGTTTTGAATGGAGGGCAGCAGGTGGTGTGGTTAAGGCACTGGATTCCCGCATGGTGGACAGTGGCAGCTGGAAAATCCCTATGCGTGTGCATGTACAAAATCCTGAGAGGAGCACTGAGGAAAAGGGGTTGCGATGTGGCCGTCCCACCGATTTTTCACTGTCCCTCTCTCTTTCTCCAGTGAGTGTACATGACCTATGGCAAAAACTTAAAGAAAAAAAAAAGTATTAAAGTTGGGAAGAAAGGGAAGAACCAGCCAATAGCAGGCAGAGGTGTAGAAGCTAGAGGGAACGGAAGGAAAGGTGTAACCCAACTTGCCAAGTGGCTGCGAGAAGGTTGCCAAGGGCATGTAACTGTGACCTGCACCTTGAAGGATGGTCAGGGGTGACCAGGCTCAGGGGCAGAGTGTGTACTGGACCACAGCCCTTCTGACCTGAGCGCAGTGGGACATGACAGATGGGCAAGAGAGGGGGCGGCCCTGTGGAGCTTGAATCTAACCATAGTCGTTCTGGGCAGCAGCTGGGGAGCTATGGAGGAAAACACCACCACCTGGTTTGTATTTTAACAAGATCACCCCGGAAACAGATGTGGGATGGAGTGGAAGGGTGGGGTCAGCTGATAAACGCTCCTAGTTTCAAAAATTTGCAGACACAGAACACCGAAGAAAAGTCACTAATTTTTAACTTTGAGCTTTATTTAGAACTGATTTTTTTGTATGTGTGTGCCCTTTGTTCAGAATTAATGACGTTTTCTTTCTTTTTTTCGGTGTATAAGTCAAAGGATGTGTGGGGTGGGCTTGTCAGAGACAGAGAGAGAGAAAGGGAGAAGGAGAAAGCACCCCTACAGGAGCGTGGTCACGCCTTAATCCCTTCTCCCCCGTTTCTCTGCTGTTAGGATTTGGGGCATGCACGTGCAGGCACTGGCTGTGTTTTTCAAGCTGCTGGGCCAGGAATCAAACTGCGGTCGGCCATGTGGATTCTGGCTTTTAATCCTCAGTCCACAGGACTGGCCCGTGAGGGTCCCTTTGTACTCTACTTTGTGTTCACACAGATACGCCGACTGTACTCTCCGTCACAAACATTTGAGATTCCATTTTTTCACAAATTCGGTGTTCACACAGATACGCCGACTGTACTCTCCCTCACAAACATTTGCGATTCCGTTTTTTCACAAATTCAATCTAAGTTTAAACCCTGGATGAAGTCATGTAGACAATGATCAATGAAACCACATACTTTATAATTCATTATTAGGGAAGATGAAGGTTTATTCAAATCAGGTTTTTCAAAAGACATGCGCTACTGTGTTTTTGTAGTAGCTCCAGTCACGTCAGCTTAACAGGCAAGGAATCTGGAGAAAAGATCTTTGGGAAGTAAGCCGTGGGAGCAAGGGGGTGACCGTCTGGGCTACGGGCAGAATTTCAGGGAGCACTCTCCTGTGTTTCCAGGGCCCGATACGACCTCGTGTCACTCTGCCTATAGCCACCCACCAAGGGACCTCTGAGATTCCTTCCTAGTCTCAGTAGCTATTTGAACATTATTAAATTAGGGCCCAGCAGGTGGCGCGGTGGTTGAGACACTGGACTCCCACATGGCCGACTATGGTTTGCATGCCAGACCGGGCGGCTTGCTTTCTCACTTTCCCCCTCTCTCTCTTTTTCTGTCTCCCTCTGGTGAGAAAAACATGTTCTATAGCAAATTAAAATAATAATAAATAATTTTTAAAAAATTATTAAGTTAGTAGTTTGATACATCAGGAAGAAAAGAGTATAATATTGCATGGCAATGTGATGTCTTATCTCCCAGAAATGCTGTACTATTTCTTTGTGACCAAAATACAACTCAAGCTGCATTGCAGACTCCAACTACTAACATTCTAACCACTGGCGTTGGGCCAGCTGTGTCACGGTGGTCAAGGTGGATGGATTTTTACACGGTTGACTGCATGGCTCGAACCCTGGACCTGGTAGCTTGAAAATACACTGGTGCATATGCATATGTGCACAAAATCCCCAAAGGAGGGAGAAATGGAAGAAAAGAGATTGTGGCGTGACCATGCCTCGCTAGAGGTGGGGAGACCTGCTTTCTCTCTCTCTTCCCCTGCCTCTCTCTCCAGCAAGTGCGGGTGCGCCCTGGCCAATCAATAACAAATACCAAAAAACTGGTGTTAAGGCATGGAGGAAGGGGAAGTATGGTTGTTTAATTTAAAATTCAGGATTCTAGAAAACCCCACCCTCCCCAATGTACTCTCATACGTGGGAAGCCACGAATCACAATGCCAAGTGGTGTTGGTATCTATGAGGGCCTTGGTCCAAAGCTCACATGGGGCTTCAGAGGAAACACTCCCCACCTTTCTCCTCGTGACCACTCTTCCTCTCATGGCGGTGATTTAGCTCCAGTATTTACTCAGAATAAAAAGGCAGAGAGGGGACCAGGAGAGGGCATAATGGTTACGTTGCTGGACTGGTCTGAGTCCCAGACCCGGTAGCTCAAAACTCACGCCGGGTGCCTGTGCACGCATCCCAGAATCCCGAGAGAAGAATGGAGAATGGATTGTAGTGTGGCCATCCCTCCGAGGGCTGATTTCTCGCTTTCTGTCTCTCCGGCGAGTGCACGCACCCTCTAGCAAAAATCTCTCTCTAAAAAAAAGAAGGCATAGAGGCTTGATGTACACACCGCTTAGACTCATCTTGACCAGCTGCACCTTGAAAGGAGGAAGTGGAAAGCAGCAGCCAAGCACTTCTGGTTTCTTCGTGACCCAAGCACTGACGGGTTGGTAAGTGCTCTAACTAGACTGTATTATAGGCCTGGTGGTTAGGAACAAAGATTTTGGTGCAAAATAGATCCAGATTTGAATCCTGGTTCAACATGAGGAAGTGGCTTTCTCTAAGTCCTAATCTCCACAACTTTAAAAAAGATAATAATCTGGGTCAGTGGGTGGCACGGAAGCTAAGATACTAGCTCCCACATAGCCAACCGCATGGTTCAAGTCCCGAATCTGGTGACTTGTAAAAAACAGCAGGGTGTGTGTGTGTGTGTGTGCGTGTGTACCCAAAAATCCTGAGGAGAAAGGAGAAGGGGCAGCAGCTTGGCCATCCTCCTTAGGGGGGTGAATTCTCACATATTCTCTCTCTCTCTCTCTGTCTCTCTCTGGTGAGTACACAGGCTCTACAGCAAAATAAACAAACAAACAAAAACTAAACTAACAATAATTTAAAAAACTAAATACAAGATAATAATCACACTATGGGTTTGTGATAAGATGCAGTAAAATGATACATAGAAAGTGCTTAGCAACGTGCCTAAAAAGTATTCATTCGAATATTCATTATTGATGTTATTTTAATTGATGAACTATTTGGGGTTCCAGGGTGCAAAAAGTGAAATACTACTAGGCTCAGGGGGCCAACAGATAGCCTGGTGATTAAGGTGCTGGACTTCTACATGGCCAACCACAGTTTGAGTCCTGGACCTGGCAGCAGAAAACCAGAATGGGCCCCTGTGCGTGTGCGCCTGAAATCCTAGGAGAAAGACGGAGGAGAAGGGATTACAGTGTGGCCATCTCCCTAGGGGGTGATTTTTTTTACCTTCCCTCTCTGTCTCTGTCTCTCCGGTGAGTGCATGTGCCTATAGCAAAACCTTCTTAAAACAAACGTCCTTTAAAATAAAGTTACTATATGATCCAGCAATTCTGCATATCTATCTGAAAGAACTGAAAACAGGGTCTCAAGGAGATATTATATACCCATGCTCCTATCAGCATTATTTACTGTAGCCAACCGGTGGAAGCAACCCAGGTGTCCACCAACAGATGAATGGAAAAGCAAAACATCATCTACATTTACAATGGAAGTTTATTCCGTCTTAAAAAAGGGAGGGAATTCTGACACGCAATTCAGAAGACCCCTGAAGACAGCGTGCTAAGGGCGACAAGCCAGTAACAGCGGGTCAAAGACTGTTTTATCCGACTCACCCATGGTACTAAGCGTAGTCAAACGCATAGGGACAGGAAGTAGAATGATTGCCAGGGCGTGGGGGGAATGGAAAATGACGGGTATGAACTTTCGGTTTTGGAAGATGAAAAAAGCTCTGAGGAAGGACAGTGGCAACGTCTGCCCCGCAGTGTGAACGTGCTTACTGCCACTGACTGACGGACTGGGAAGCTGTATGTTGTGTATAGTTCACCACAACTGGAGAAAGGAGAGCGATGGGCTAGCGGGGCCATGACGGTTAAGGTGCTGGATTCCCACAAAGCTGAATGTGGTTTGGGTCCCAGGCCCAGCTGCTTGAAAATCACAACAACACATCGATAAATAAATAGATGTTCAAACACATTTTTTAAGGGAGAGAGAGATCAGTAACTTGAATGTTTCAAAATAAAACCATAAGAACGTGCCGTAATTACGCCTCAACTGTTTACACTGCATTTAATTCGACGTTAGGTATCCCTATTGAAAAATTCTACAGGATAATTTCTTAAAAATTTAGATTAAAGTGCCTAAAAGAAAAAGAAACCACGTCTTTAATGGTGTGCTAACGTCACAATCACTTACTTAGGAATGATATTCTTGCGTTGCCAAGACAGCTACGGTTGCTGTGGAAACCACACAAAAACAGGGATGCTTAACTGAAACAAACTCCACTCACCTGCACAAAGATGCCCTTGCTCTTATACTCCTCATGGAGGCCCCGAGAGAAGAAATCGACAAAAGCCTGGGAGGGTGGTGGGAGTAAGAAAACACACGCATTACATCAATCGGACTGATTTGTAGCCATGGAAACCAAAAATAATAAACTAACCATTCAATGTTATCTTTTCTAATCATTCGTTTCAACCCAAATGCAGAAGAAACATTAAAAAAAATCTCAAAAACCTCAAGATGTTTTCATCTGTCACTAAATGAAGTTTTATCTTATCGGATATAATATCCTTTTTAACTGGAAAAGGCTCTTATTATGCCTCCCCCCTCCGAAAACTACTTTCCAAGAAAAAAATCTTTATATCATATAACAAAGGATGCATTTCTCCTCTCTACTTGTCATTCACATAGAAACACGACGAGGATTCTGTCCAACCCTATTCTGTGGGGATTTTGCTGTCACTGGAAGGGAAAGATCAAGTATCCTCTTGGTGCCTTGGGATGGCAAGAGCCGAGAAGGGTAGACATGACTGTCACGGTGACAACGGAGCCCGAGATCGATTTGCAAAATACAATGTGCCATTTTTCAAATGTGGACTCAACCTCAGGGTTGAAATGCAAAGCACCAATAATGACTCTCCAAGGGCTCTGACTGGGAACAGTCTCGGAGCTGAACCGGTAAGAAGTCGGGGTTTACCAGTCACTCCGGAAACATGACATTCCTTTTACCCAGGCCCACATAATGTTCTAGAGAGTGTGCTCGTTTGACGTGTTTTGGAGTGAAAAAGAAAGATTTTTTCTGCTCTCTGCCTTCCTGACATACTGCAAGTTTTTATTGTGTATTTCACTTGGCTTCTTTTTCTCCCAAAGCTTGCTTAATTTCAACATCTAAATACATCCTTCAGGGATGTATGCCACACCTTAACAATATCTGAGGAGGATGCTACGGACCTTCATCAGGAGGTGCATTCTAATTTTCCCAGTAGTCATATGAAGAGGTGAATGGTGAAGACGTATGGAAGTATGACATTCTACAGAAGGTTCTAGAAAATTCACATCAGACCCCAGAAGTGACAACAGAAAATCTGTGAATGACGGGTAACATGGCAGAACAGTCACAGCGACAGTGACTTTATCTTGTGCCTACTGTGTACATGTCTGTGCTTAACTGGACGTATTTCTTCTGCACCGTGTGAAGCAGACTCACTCAACGTGTCGAATTTCAGACTCATTAACATCATGTTCTGATCAGCAGAGCTAATGGGCCTAGGCCAGATCTCCATGGAAAGTACAGGCATCACTCTGAAAATCTGCAAACTGGCAGGAAGAAAAGCATCTGTGGGTCTGCTCTCCTGGTGTCCCATTTATAAATGTGCATCTATTGGTATGTTTGCAGCTCTGGCACCCCCGCAGCTTGGCTTTCCTTTTCTTCTCAGTCCACTGGGAAATGGTCAAGAATAGAACTTCAGGAAAATTAAATCTATGTTAATTCTCCGGAGTCCAGCTCACTCCTTACTCTTACCCTGACGGTCTATACTCAGATACCTTGGTCGCAGAGTAGATGGTCAGGAGTGGAACTGGGTTCATGCCACTGAGAGAGGAGATGTTCAGAATCACCCCTTTAGACCTAAAAAGGAAAACATATCAAGTCAACACGGTGAAATCAGGTACGTGGTGGGGTGTGATTATTCAACACAGAGTAACGTAGCTGTTTGTCTCTCCCTGCCTTTCATCAGTGTGTGATCTGCTTGGTCAGTCAATGAGGCATAATCCAATCAACTAAAAATAGCTCTTCTTTGTGATGAGCTCATTCTCGGTCTTCGCAATCCAGGGCATGAGCAGATCAGATGCACACCTCCTGGAGTTGATCTCTACCCTCTAAGGCCACGGCCCTGAGAACTCTCCCGTACAGATACTCCCCCCTCTCTGCATGCACCCTCATTTCGGTGAATCATCACAGGCCACGGTGCTGCAGTACTTAATTATTCCACATGCTCCACATTTCTCCTCTCGACAAAACCGTCGATGTCTGGACATCACAGCCCACTTTTCCTCAAAACTCCGCGCAGTACTGAGCACGTACCAGGCTCTGGCTCCACGAGCATATGAAGGACTGCATCCTGCCCTCTTACTTCCTGAGTCTACACACGTTTGGGTGCCAGAGAAAGAGCTGACTAAAATTATGCAACGTTGCAACTTTTCATACCCATATATATTATCACACCATATACTTTTTATAGTTTATCATACCATATATCATACCATGTATTGTGCCAAAAGGCAAAGTTCAGTTTCTACCATAACTTGGAGAGACTGCTGAAAGTTAAGTCAGAAAGTTACCAGGAATTCCTAATCAGATGAATGAAAATTAGTTCAAGGAAAGCAATGTTATAAATACACGAGATGCCAGTTAGCAAGTACAAGTGTGGAACTACAGTTCTAAGGCTGTCAGAACTAATAACCAACTCCCTCCCAAAAATCCATTCTTCTGGGACCAGCAGTTAGTGTAATGGCTATGTTGCTGGACTTCCGTGTAGTCAACCGTGGTTTGAGTCCTGGACCTGGTGGCTTAAACTCACGCCGTGTGCATGTGTGCCCAAGATCCCAAGAGGAGAATGGAGGAGAAGGGATTGCAGCATGGCCTTCCTCCCTGGGGGGTGATTTCTTGCTTTCTATCTCTCTGTCTCTCTCTGTCTTTCTGACGAGAGCACGTGCCCTATAACAAAAACCTCTCCAAAAACACCCCAAATCCATTCTTCTCACAGAGGTCTCCTTCACTACGGCACCCCATTCCACCGGCCTCCAGGTCAAGCTCCTATCCTTTGACCCAGCTTCTCCTAATTGTTTGGCTAAATCTATGTCCCCAAAGCCTATTTTTCTCAGTATTAACCCCAAAAGGGGGGGCTATATATAGGCCCTTTTTATGTAAAATAATAAAGGAAACATGATTAAATGGCATCTAAGTTATTTTAGACATAAATCTGAATAGAAATAATCCCCAAAGGTCACCCGCTCCATCTGCCAGCCTCCAGGCGAGATGCCACTGCAGCCATCACAGTGAAGTCTGGGCCCCTGGTTGAAAGTGTGCCACTGGGAACGACTTGTTATTATTCTTAACAGAAGCCCTTATTAACACACATGTTCCTAAGGAGTAAGATACATCAACATTTTGGTAGTAGATACCAAATTTCCAATTTAAAAATGTTATGAAGGTTTTGCAGAAAGTTGGAAATACGTAGGGATGATTATTTTTTGTATTTTTTTGACTATGTCTGTCTCAAAAGCAAAAAAAGCCCTTCCTTTTAAATTTTCAGGTAGGCGTTTATATCAGGAGTTAGGGCCCAGCCCTCTCCGAAATAAAAATGGTTGAATTAGCAGTGACTATCTAGTCATTTCACTTTATCTATGCTTGTGAGAAATCCTTACGATAAAAATCAAGTATGTAAGCCACTGTTACTACAAGAGCCTTTTAATGCAGTATTAATTCATGATGTCTAAAATATCTTTAACTTTGGGGATGTTGAACTATTCTAAATTAGATTGTGGCGATAGTCGTATAGTTATGTAAATATACTAAAAATCACTGAAATACACACTTTAAATGTGTAGATTTTATAATCTGTCAAGTATATCTCAAGAGAGGAAAAAACCTATTTACCTTACATTGAAATCACCTTTAAGCTGGGAACAGATTCAGTCATGTGAAAGCTAAGAGAGCAATTATATCATTTTTTTCAAACACAAATTATTTAATTTTATTTATTATTTTTAAATTTGCTATAAGGCACATGCACTCATCAGAGAGAGACAGAGAGCGAGAAATTGCCCCCAGGGGGCATGACCACGCCGCAATCCCTTCTCCTCTCAGGATTTTGGGCACGCATGCTTATGTGCCCAGTGTGAGTTTTAAGCTGCTGAGTCCAGGACTCAAACCACAGTTGACTATGCAGGAGGCATGCCCATTATGCCACCTGCTGGCCCCGAAAGCCATTACATTTTAAGCAGCACTATGTGCTTTCTGAGGAGTAGTCCCAGTTCCTGACGAGGAGCCCCCTCCTGCTCTCTAGGAAGCCCAGAAGGTGTGGGCAGTGTTTTGTCTTAAGCTTTCCTTACATAACCAGGAATTGTATAGCCTCATTCATTCAGAGCAAGTGGAGAAAAAGCCTGTTTGAAGTAGATGCAAAAGATGAGGTTTTTCACTGCTGCTGTAGCCTTCATAGCCCGTTTCACCAACTGGATTCTGTCCTCCATTCTACGCAAGTTAACTGGGCTGGCTGTGGGTGCCCTTAACAAAAATATTACATTTTTAAATTTCATTCCTCACAAATGCAGTGCAATTTAAAAGTCTCTAAAAATTAAAGTCTGTTAGCAGTAACATTTAAAAAATAAAATCTTGACCGCATCAAAACAGACTCTTAAAACTTCACTCACCAAAACGATTATTTCGATACAAGAAGAGTCATTTGAAGGCAATAAAAGCTTCTCTCCCCCTTTCAAAAATACTACCGACCAGTAACCCAACCTGCCACAGTCCTGCAGTCATGTTCCTTTATTGGGTTACTACTTGAGGCTACTAAGATCTTTGCTTCTCAATATTCTATCCAGATTTCAAATTTATGGGGGTGCAGGGAGCAGCTGGGACATGGTGGTTAAGGCGCTTAACTCCCACGTGGCTGAACGCGGTTTGAGTCTCAGACCTGGTGCTTGAAAGTCACACCGGGCACGTGTGTGTGCATGCTCAAACTCCCAACAGAGAAATGGAGAAGAAACTGCTGTGTGGCCATCCCCTGGGCGGGGTGCGGGGTGGGTGTGGGGGGGTGAGTTCTCACGTTCACTCTTTCTCTCTCTCCAGTGAGCCCAAGAGCTCCAAGACAAAAAGCTTAAAAAAAAAAAGTCTAGGGGGTAGAGCTATTCTAAATTGGTGAAAAGTCAGAATTCTAGTGTACTTCATACAAAGCACAGTATTTGCACTCTAAAGTACATCAAGACAAAGCAAAGACCAACAAAGTAAAAAGCAAGAATCCACCAGAGCTAAGTAAATATCAACAGAGGGAGAGCATTCATCATTGTACCGACGTGATGGCAGAGCGGATGCTCCCTGCAAACCTGCCTTGCCATCAAGCACACACACCTGGCTAGCGAAAAACTTTCCTCCCACACCCGACCATGTACAATTCTCCTCTCCGAGGAGAATAATATTCAGCGTGGTTTTGACTGAATCCTAAGTAACACGCTGCCATAGCCTCGTCTTAATCCTGGTACTGTATTCGGCATTTATCTTTTCTGTAGAAATGCGGATGAACATTTGAGATGGCGAGGCACAAAGGGCTTGTCTTTAAAATCAGCTCCTGTGTCCAGCTCTAATCCTCCATCTGAGCAGAATTAGTGACGTCAAACCAGTTTCCATGGCACAGCCAGACTCACGACAACTCTGTTACATCGAGCAGAAGGGCAACATGGGCTGTGCCTAATTGCACACAGAAGCAAACATACAACCAAACCCTGGTTAATCTCTCAGTTTCTGAGGACTTGGGAACAATTCCAAGATTGGAAGGTACATTAAGAATTTTTGCTTAAGTTCTATCATGAACATTCACATTGCTCACACTGCCGCACGATTTCTAGTTTGTTATGACAAATATCCAAAGAAACAAGGGAAGTGATCTTTTCTGATGTGACATTCTTAATTCATGGCACTGTTTACTTGCTAACAGCCACAAAATGCTATCTCAGTGGTATGAATTATTTAAGCTCTAATACACTAATACACTGCAAAAACAAAGCAGACAATGCCAGTTGCTGATAAGGAAACATCTTTTCATATAAACATATTCTCTTCCATTACTACTTCTCCCACAACCCGGACATTAAACTTAGACAACCTATACAATTCAGGACCTTGCATTTACAACTTCTTACAGCTACGCTTTTTAGATTCCCTTAGACCTGTGAAATTCCAAGTTAAACTCCCTTTCATTATTACCTGGGGCGAGGGGAAGTACTCTATAAGCCCTTATTCTAGAAATGCCCACTATTCGATCAGCTTGTCATAGTTTCCTTGTCCACACTCTCTCTAAAAGAAAAAACCCTACTGTCATGGAGGAAGTAACAGGTCCCCTTTGAAATAAGGTACTGGGGCTAGCAGGTGGCATTAAGCGCTGGGCTCTTGTATGGCCAACCACAGTCTGAGTCCCAAACCCGGTGGCTTGAAACTCACTCTGGGTGCATGTGCACGTGTGCCCAAAATCCCGAAAAGAGAATGGAGGAGAAGGGATTTCAGTGTGGCCATCACCCCAGGGGGGTGATTCTTGCTTTCTGTCTGTCTCTCCAGCAAGCGTGCACATCCTATAGCGAAAATCTCGCTCTCAAGAAAGAAAAGAAATAAGGCACTGATTTCTGCTAGCCTCAGGAACCCCATCACGGCCTCCCCATGGCAGGTGAGAAGACGGAGGTAGAGGCAGAAATGCTGAATAGACCCGGGAAGACAGGGTCAATCCTAGTGTAGACAGTTAACTGCAGAGTTTGATGGCAGACGTGGGAGAACGTGCCAGAAAGACGGTCACAATTCTTCACATTTTCACTTCGTATCAGGGCGTATATGAGCCTGCTCTTAGAGGTTGTTACCCCCCCCCCTTTTTAAAGCTTAAACAATACTGAAATTGGTGTAGACAGTTCTCTAACAGGCTCTCAAGAAAACTGAGAAACTTATCAATAGACAGTTCTTCGTTGGAAAAGAATCCTGGCACACAAGGGTCAGGTATATAATTAGAACTAGCAATCCATACTTTATACAAACACTGCTGCTGAAGAAAGTTTGCAAACATTTAGCACACGAAAGAGAATTACCTGCCCTAAAATACCACAACATATCATAATTCCACCTTAAGCAATACAGTATGAAAGAGGCTATTTTTAGCAGTCCCATGGTTGTTATGGCAACCACCTCCTGGCTCCAGCTGTACACAATGTTTATAATTCCAGGGAAGTGGAAAGAGCAAGTTTCTCCTATAATGTAATTATGCACTTTCTACTTCTATGGTAATAATACCTTAGTTCGATTATAGATACTTGCTTACTGACAGTCAGGTGGCCCTGGGCTATAGTTCTAGAGGGTCTGGAAAACCTCTTTCATCGTGAGTGAAAGGAAAACAACAACAAAGGGTCTTTACAGCACTCTGCTCTTACTCAGTGGAGAGACCAATTCTGTGCAAACCAACCACAGGAAAGAGACCATGGGGGGGGGGGCGTGTCAAGAGTAGGCTATAATAAAACCACTTATAATGTGTAAGGAAGAAGACCTTTCAGATGGCCTGTTACCTTGGGAGGTTTTCTTTCCCCTTGAGCACACGGCTAACGTTTCTGGCTTCTGTGGAAAGTAGACAGAAGTGGCATACACCACTTCCTGGACTAGCCCGTTAAACGGGCTCCCCTAAAGTCATCCTTCCCTTCCCACATCTGCTAGCTGGACACAGAAGAGAACTCCAATACCCTACAGAATGATGGATGTCCAAGGAGCAAGGAACCTCAGATCTCTGAATAACTGGATGGAGATACGAGGGCAAAGTAAGGCTTTACTGTGTGAAGCCACCGAGATTTGGGAGTAGTCTGTTGACAGCAGTTAGCTACTTGGACTAACGCACCTAGTAACTCCTTTCATTCGAGTAAATATAGTTGTTCTTTACCTAATCAAAAGAACTGCTTCATAAAATCCACATACATTGCTTACTAGTTCTTGGCACATACCACAGTCACCTCTGCGATGCCCATTTCAGTCCATAGATTCTGAGGCCTTTCTATTAGGTCATAGCTCCATTTAAAATCACCTTGAGGGGCCGGCAGGTGGTACAGTGGTTAAGGTGCTGCACTCTCACATGGCCCACTACAATTCAAGTCCTGGACCTGGCGACTTGAAAATCATGCTGAACAAGTGTGTGCGTGGGTCCAAAATCCCAGAAGGTGAATGGAAGAGAAGGGAATATGGTGTGGGGGGGAGTGATTTCTCACTTGCCCTCTTTCTGTCTCTGTCTCTCCAGGGAGCACACATGCACTATGGCAAAACCTTAAAACAAACAAACAAAAAAAACTTGATTTCTCAAAGGCGAGGATCCAGTTTCTCTCTGTATATTCCATGATACGCTTTACTCAACAAACGCCTGTTGGATGGAGAGATTCTTCCTCAGCATTGTTTGCATCTCCCCAGTGTTGTGATAAGGGCTGCCATGCGCACAGAAATCGCAACGAAGTTCCCAGCTCCCCAAATCCCTATCCGTTTCTAAGTCACTGTGGGGCTTCATAGTGCTCATTCTCCTTGGGCATCAGTTTTTCATCTGCTAACCTAAAAGAGTTGCTTTTAATTCATCTAAAACGCTTGATTTCTAGGACTCTCTGAACCTAGGACTCTGAACTCTGCAAACTGATTTCCCAGCCAGTCTTCTGTTACGATTTTCACCAATATACTTTAATTTCGTCTATAATACCACGGTGGTTTTTAAGTATTTCTTTTTGAACAGATGGAATTGGTATCCTGAATGAATACTATGTTACATGCAGATTTGTTAAAACTAGGGTTAAGATAATAGCCCACTTCCATCCCTCCTGGATTCCATTCTGCTGCCCCAAATCGGCTATCTTCTCTGGGCTCATGGGGTGTGAGGCTGCCGTTTCTGTATCTGACCAGTAGAGGCCAACCTCCACTGGCAACCTTGAAGGTTGTTAAAGAGAAAGATTACTAAAACCAAGCAATTAAAATCTTCAAAATAGTATGCACAAAATGAAATGACAAAAAGTCTTGCTGAGAAATGGTTTTCTAACCAGTCTGTGTGGATGCTCAATGAACGGATCCCTTATTTCAGTGTGCTCAGCTGTAAAATGGTGCGAGGGCATCGACATTATGTGAATGAACAGATAACAAGTTCTCAGTACCACACCGAGCACAGCACACGCGCTCGGTGAACACAGACTATGATCCCTGTCTGGACGTGGTCACGGAGGTTTCTGAACAAAAGAAGGGTCCTCGGGTCTTCCCTATTCAAAGTCTGCCTCCTTCGGGCCTCTGTCAAACCCGTAGCTCCTTGGGGAAGAACGGTAACTGCAAGGCCCTAAATTCAGCCCATGATCAAGTTAGACTCAAGAGGCAAGCCCAGCTCTTGTCGGCAGATTTTCTTTAAAAGCTCAGCCATCATTCAGGTTTTTAGAAGGAGGGAACAGAGCTTAATTACAATTTTCCACTGCACGCTGTTTCAAATGTAAGAGCTCTAAAACGCATTTCTCAATAAAAATGAAGACAACCAGCATATCCTCGTAGAACCCTGTTCCGACTGGAACATGGATGGGGCCAGTCACATCTCCTTTGCTTCCAAGGGTCGGTGTGACATCTTATAATCACTTTATAGCATGGCTAAATTCCTCAGCTGTCCCAGTAAGAACTGAAAAACCAGAAGAGGGGGGGTGTCTTGCTTCATGAAACTCCAGTTACTTGGGCTCTGAGAGGGTGCAGCTTTAAGAAGGTGTTCCCGGGAATATCCCAGAAACTCTATCCGCCCCCTCAGAATACCAGGCAATTGAGTTAGTGATGGTGACTCAGGCAGGCTTTTTAATCCTGATCGAAAGGAACCACTACAACCCTAGAGAGGAAAATAAAAAGGGAACTGAGTGGAAAAGGCCTGTACCACCGATGACTCACGCTCTGCCGCGTGACTCGACCAGCACATCACCCTGTCACGAAGACTGCGAGGCGAGGTTCGTTAGTCACTTTAATGAATTTTTTTCAAAGAAAGGATTCTCCCTATAAATAATCATGAGCTCTGCCTCTCCAGTGTTTGTGTGTGAACCCATGACTCACCTTTCTACCATGCTGGGCAGTACCAATTGTGTCATCTGCAAAAGAGAAAACAAAACATTCATGATGGCCCAAGATGCAGGCAGCAGAGAGAGTGAAAGAAACCCACCCACACACAGAAGACGGCAACAATAAGCCACTCAGCACTTCTACAGCCGGCAGTGTACTCTATACACTCCATATAATTTGGTCGTGTCAAGAGTGCATGAAAAGGAACCAGATGAAATGACTGGAGACAATGCTGGAACCACCTTCACTGATCTTGGCTAAAATGAGCCTTGCCTGAAATGTAATACTGGCTCAGAGATCTTCGAATAGTAAGGGGTTGATGGTGAAGCCGATGTCTCCCCAAATGCATTCTCAGAAAAGCACATGTGTTGTCACAATATGCTGCCTACCAAGATTACTTAAGCTTTCCAATCTCAAGAGTTCGAATCATTTTTACTGATACAATTTTTTTTTTTTTTTTGGAGAGGTCTTTGCCATAGGGCGCGTGCACTCGCCAGACAGACAGAGACAGACAGAGAGATAGAAAGCAAGAAATCACCCCCTCCAGAGGGGATGGCCACGCTGCAATCCCTTCTCCTCCATTCTCCTTTCAGGATCCTGGGCACGCACACACACGCGCCCGGCGTGAGTTTAAGCCACCGGGTCCGGGACGCGAACCGTGGTCGACTACATGGGAGTCCAGTGACATAGCCATTACACTAATTGCTGGTCCCCTGATACAATTTTTTAAAAGCCTCTAGAAGAATACCATAAAGTGACAGATTGGCGAATCTCAAGTGGGTCTTCACCTTCACGTCTCTTGTTGGCTCAGCTGTTTGGGAGTAAAATTTATTTGAGATCCCCCGTAACTACCAATGAAAAGGTAACGTTTGTCATTTCTAGGGACTTCATCATAGTTGACTAAATACATACAATATCAGAGAGACTACTTTAAAACTTGTTTTGAGATATTATTAACCAAGACAAGCTCAGAAGTCCAACAGTTTAGTCAAGATCCCATCACATTGAAGTACTTAAATTGGAACATGAATTCCTGATTCCTAGAGCACTTCAGTTCTCTAAGAAACAAATGCTGTTTAGCAATAATTAGACTTGAATGCATGCCAAGCATAAAAATTTTAAGCTTTCATTCTTGAATAATACTATATAAATTAACATAGACAGTACTCTGATGAGAAAGTAATCTTTTTCCTAAAAATATTTCGAAGAAAGGAAATGCCATCCAGACTTTACCGGGTCAACTCTGCTGTGTGGCCATTCAATCCAGAGGCCATTCTAGAGACGTTGCTTACATTTTTAGTAAAAAGGCAAGTTTGAGTTGACGCTGTAGCATAACATATAGACTAATACATTTCCAATTGTGAAGCAAAAGAGTGTCTTCAAAGCTTACTTTCAACAAAAGTATTTCGATTAGGGCAAATCTTTTGGGCCAGATAAAAGAGAAACTGTAAGAAAGTGTTTGGCCTAAAGCACTCCTACCTGCCTCCTTCTTACGCACAAGTCTGCATTTTCCATGTTAAATTTATCTTCTTAGAATTCTGGGGCAGAGGTTGCCGACTGTCCTCCAATATTCGTTCTCTCCTTGATATACAGCAACTGAGTGTTCAGTTGGACACGTGGCCTCTTTCCTATTTTCAGTGTCCTCACAGAAACCATATTTTCTATGACCTCTCAGATGCATGCTCCCCTATGACTGACTATGTTTTCTCTATAAGAGGTGATGAGAAATAATACATGCAATTTCTGGATCATGCCCTCCAAGGGAGAAGGATCTATGTTGTCCCGTGTTCTTCTCCTTTTCCTGGTGACTAGAGCGTGGAGTGATGGAAAGAGCTAAAAGCAGCCATCTTAGACCTCAAGGCGAAGGCGTGTGCTAGTGAGGATCCCTAATGTCTGTGAAACAACTACGCCAAACCTTGACCAACTATCCAACTGTGTGTGTGTGTGTGTGTGTGTGTTGTATGTTTTAGATTTTTGCCATAGGGCACATGTGTTCACAAGAGAAAGAGGGAAAGTGAGAAAGCGTCCCCTCAGGGGGGATTTCCAAGGTGCAGTCTCTTCTCCTCCATTCTCCTCTTGGGGTTTTGGGCATATGCAAAAACACATCTGGCATGATTTTCAAGCCACCAGGTCCAGGTCTTGAACCATAGTCTGCTATGTGGGACTCCAGTGCCTTAATCACAGCGCCACCTGCTGCCCCCCCCCCCATGCAACTTTTTATCTGAGAGAGAACTGAATTTCTATTTTGTTTAATTCACTACAGGATCACAGCTGTAGGAAGGAGCTATAGTGTTCTCGCCAGACTTACCGTCTATTTTCATAAAGAGTGACCAAGACGAACATTTTAAAACTTAAACAACAACAACAAAAAGGAATAAAACCCAAAGGAAACTCAATCAGAAATTATGCTATAGCCCAAAAAGCTTCAAAATTGTATAGTTTTTAAAACATGGAACAGCAGATGGCATAATGGTTATGTCACTGGACTCCCACATAGCTGACTGCGGTTCCAGTCCTAGACCCAGTGGCTTAAAAGTCATGCTGGGCATGTGTGCGTGCATGCCCCAAATCCTGAGATGGGAATAGAGGAGAAGGGATTGTGGCATGACCATCCCCCTTAGGGGGTGATTTCTTGCTTTCTTGCTCTCTATCTCTTTTTGTCTTTCTGGCGAGCCTATGTGCCCTATAGCAAAAGAAACAAAAGAAAACCACCCCCCCCAAAAAAAAAGAAAAAGAAAAAGAAACTCTCTTTTTAAAATGGTCTGATCTCTCCTCTTTTCTAGCTCTGCTTGACCCAGGTTGAAATGTGCCCATTGGGCTTCAAACCGAACTTTCTAGAACCAAGTCAAAGAAAAAATTGATTTCAGAGTTTATTCATTCAGCATAATCACGTCTCTTAGTAATAACTCTCCAGGTTTGCTTACACATTTCTCTTAATTTGTTGTTTCCTAAAATCACATAGAATTGCTTAGTACCTAGCTACTGAACACTTAAGCTAAGTTTGGTAAAAAGCCAGGTGAGAGTTCTAGTCTTGGCTTTCCTACTAACTAGTTGTGTGACCCTGAATTCTTCATTGTCTTCTTTAGAGTCCTTGCGTGTGAGGTGAAGAAGGTATCTACAAGACAGGTTCTTACAGTCCGAACTTCAAATAAGATCATGTATATAATGAACATAGCACGGGGCACGTCACGAAGAAGCCTCTCAAGGGAAAGCGTGTCCCTGCCTGTCCATCGGCACCATCCCTACAGGGTGCAGTGCCACTCGGTGTCCAGGCTTCCTTTCAGCACAGTGCGCCCAGACAGGTTAGAGCCAGGGACACTTTGGGAGCACCTTCAGTTTGACTTACCCCACAGAATTCTGTGTCTGGACCTTCCTTCAATATTTTAAAATATCTCAGTTGGAAGCTTCTTGGGCTAAGGGAATTGTTCTAAAATTGGACTGTAATGATGACTGTACAGCTCTGTAAAAGTACTAAAAATCAGTAAATTATGCACTAACATGAATGAACTTTATTCTATGTAAGTTCCTCCAGAATAAGGCTGCTGCAAAAATACCTCAATCATCACATGGCTAAGAATTAAAGAACAGGAATCACAAAACACATTTGCTGTTGTTATTTTTATCAATCCCAGGAGAAGTAAAAACACTCAAAATGCTCAAAGCGTATCAACCTAGACCTCTGAGAGCAACCCGTTATCCTAAAGGGTCATTGTCTTTCTTAGCCATGTTACCTGCCAGGACCTGGGGTGGGAGTGAGAGCTCACTATCTAGAGGGAGAAGAGACATACAGATGTGCTCAAGGCAACAGCAGGAGAGGACTAAGGGCACCGGTGCTTAGGAGAGGGACCTGCTGGGAATCAGGTAGACCTTCACAGACTGTGTTTCAGTTCTGTTCTGAAAGAATAGTTTACTAGGTGGAACAGATATTCCAGGGACCAGTAGATGGCGTTAACAGTTATGTTGCTGAACCTCCAAGAAGTCAACCACAGTAGAGTCTCAGAGTACAAAGGCTTAAAACTCATGCTGGGAACGTGTGTGTGCATGCCCCAAATGCTAAGTGGAGAATTTGTGTGTGTGTGTGAGGGGAAGATTGCGGTGTGGCCATCCCTCCGGGGGGTAATTTCTTGTTTTCTGTCTCTCTGGGAAGTGCATGCACCCTGTAGCGAAAATTTCTAAAAAAAAGAAAAAGAAAGAAAAGATATTCTAGTAGAAATAGAATGCAAAAAGGCAAACACCTGTTTGGAAAGTACAATATATGCTATTGAATTGATGGCATTTAAAAAATCGTTTTGAGGGGCCAACAGTTAGTGTAATGGCTATGTTGCTGGACTCCCATGTATTTGACCACGGTTCGAGTCCTGGGTCTGGTGGCTGAAACTCACGCCGGGCGCATATGTGTGCTTGCCCAAGATCCCGAGAGGAGAATGGAGGAGAAGAGATTGCGGCGTAGCCCTCCCCCCGGGGGGTAATTTCTTGCTCTGTCTCTCTGTCTCTCTCTGCCTCTGGTGAGTGCACATGCTCTGTAGCAAAAAAACTCTCCAAAAAAAAAAATCGTTTTGTTGGATGGATGAATTAAACATATTTAAGAAGTTAAAAGGAATGAGCATCTTATTGCCTACGCCGGGCAACTTGCCCTTGTAAATAACAATACATCCCGGACAGATTCGCATACTATTGATGGTACAAACAGATGTGTGTCAGGCACGTTAACAGCTGTGGAGCATCTTACTGTAAAGAACAGATTATATACATTCTTAATTAACAGCTGTGGAGCATCTTACTGTAAAGAAAAGATTATACACATTCTTAAGAGTATCTGCAAGAAAGGTGGTTTTTTTTTTAGAATTATTTATTTATTTTTACTTATTCATTAATTTATTTTAATTCTGACTGGAAAGACAGACACAGAGAAGGGAGGAAAGTGAGAAAACGAGCCACCAGTTCTGGGACTTATACTGGTTGGCCATGTGGGAGTGTCTAGTGGCTTAACCACCACGCTACCTGCTAGCCCCCAAAGTTTTTTTAAAAA